CAAAAGATTTTAAGTGTTACATGAAATGTTAGAGAAGATGATGGAAACTTGAAAGAGTTTCTACCGAATACCTAGAGGACAGTTTAAAGTCCTCTTTAAACAATCCTCAGGGTCAAACTGGAAATGTCTTTCACTCCGGAAGTCAGGGAAGTAAGCTCTATAGACACATGAGGGCTAGAAAGCAGAAGAGCACAGCTGAACCCACGAGGCTGATGGCCCAGCACATAATAGTGGGTTCTGGGAGAATGTCGGTCCCAGGTCGGTACAGGAAACACGAACAAATTTAACTGGGCTTAAGGTTCAGGTTTTCTAGGTTAGCATTAAAACCAATTAAACTTGTTAATTATCATCTTTTAGAACTTCAGGCACCTCTGTTAAATCCTGTTTACACTTTTTTTCTTAGAAAAACTGTTTCACTGAAATTATCTTTTCTTAGTAGTTATCTCCAGATTTGCATCAATCAGTGTTGCCAGACTAAAGTCACTTGCACTGAAGCTCATTTTTACAATGAAATATCACCAACATTATTGAAAAATTACAAATGTCTCTTTGTCCTGAATTTCAGATATAGAACAGTACCATATTATGTGCATATATTATTTTATGTAATCCTTCTAAAAACCCTGAAAAACTTTTCCCAATAAAAATAAAAACAAAAAAAAAACATCCAAACCTGAGACACACAAAATTCAGATCAAATCTCTACACATGGAAAAATGATGTCATACTCAAAACTGGCACCTGGACAAAGGATTCATTTCTCCAACTTCTAAGGCAGTGTATCTTCTGCCACACTAAGGAAATGATAAAAGATAAGGGTTTTTTTTTTTTGCAGGTTTTAGGTCTTGATTGCAACATTATTTTTTGTTACAGAAAAGCAGTCCCGAGATGGCTTTTCACCCAGTACAGCAGCATATAATGTACACTAACAGGTATTTAGAGAAGTTTACACATTCTGGTTACTGTATCTTTCAGACTGTAAGACTCACTTTTTAACCACATTTTTTGCTTCAAAGTTTTCCCTCTATTTTCCTCCTCTAAAACTTAGGTGTGTCTGGGATCTGCACCATAAGATGCACTTAGCTTTTAGGGGAGGAAAATAGGAAAAAAAATTCTGAAGCAAAAAATGGGGTAAAAGGGGGCGTCTTATAGTCTGAAAAATATGGTATGTTACCGTGAATCTGTAAGAGGGAACTTATGCTATTTTAAGCAAGTTTCTTATGGTTTGAGTATTTTATTTCAACTCTATTATAATAGTGTACTAGATAGTATGAGGAGGGTAGTATGAGGAGAGAACCCAAAAAACTGCTATTTATAAAAAATTGTGTATTCTTATCAACTTCAGTCATCTTCAGAGTTCTCTCCATTTGATGCACTATACACCTATGAAGACCTTTTTCTACTGCTCAGAATAGTTTTTGAAGTCATCGATTTTGATGCCTTTTAGTTCTGTTGTTTTTTGTTTCACCTCTTCCACTTTGGCAAAATGTTTCTCTTTGAGGACTTTTTTCATCCGGGGAAACCAAAAAAAAGTCCCTCAGAGTGAGATCGGGTGAATATGGAGTTGGGCATCATGCTGTTTTTGGTCAAAAACTGCCAACCACTCAGCACAGTGTGGGCAGGTGCGCTCATAAATCACCCTTCACGAAATGGGCAAATGCATTGAAAGAGTCTTCCAAAAAATTCCCTAAAGCTGATGCAGTGCCAGCTGGTACACTGCTGGAGATGGGTTCCTAGAACGCTCACCTAGCAGGGAAGGCCTGTACTACAAGGGGCCTGCCCTTCAGAAGATAATTCCAGGTTTTGGGGGGTATACACCCTCATATACTGAAAAAGTTCAGCAAATCAAAACTACAATTTCTGTGAATGTAGAGGCTATAGGTATCTTCTCAGAAATGTTGTAAAGCACCTTTGATGGTGTTGCACTAACCCAGGTAGCAAAGCAGTAAGGCAAATTTGGTAACTGATGTACACAGACAGTTTTCGGATAAATTCCATATCTGCTTTCATGACCAATTTATCTGGGAAAGTTTCCAGATAACATTTTGAGGCTGGAATGCTTCTCCACATTCTCTCATCCCTCAAGTTCAAATACGTTTTCATTGAAAATGTTTAATGAATAAGCAGAACAGATTAAGTTACTAGACACTCAGAAGAGTTTTTTAAACTTTATGAAGTATATATAGCTTAATAAGAAAATAGGGACTAAACCATGTACACCTGAAACAAATGAGTATTTAAGAAAACATGAAATGCCAAATAATGCAAACCCTCAGATGAAATTAGTGTATATTTACAAGTTCATCAATTTAAAGAACATTAAAATGATGCTCCCTCTATCCAATAAACTTTAAGATCACATAGAAAGCATCAAGTACCTAAAGCATTAGTCTCAAAGTACTGACTATAATAAAAGGAGTTCACTGTCTTTACTGAGTTTTTGTTCAAAAATTCCGAATGGAATTCTGACAAAGGGTCTTTTCTTTGAAATTAAGTATGCTATAATAAAAAATAATTTTTAGCAGCATCAATTCAAGGATTCTTATTTTGACATTCTTATTTATGTTTTAGTTTCATAAAAACTCTAAATTTCAAAGATTAGAATATTTAGTTACAGGTTTGAAAAAACTTTCTTTGTATATGGTACATCTTTAAAAGCACTTTACAGAGACTTATTATTCATGAACAGTTAATTTTCTACTACACACTTAAGGAAATGTCTCATTCTGATGCTGCACTTATGTTGTCTGTTACTTTAAAAGCCACCAGCGTTCTGCATAATTTCAGAGGGAATGTAAAAAATCCAGTTAGATGCAGCCGAGTCAGTCCCGTCACAGGTGCCCTCTCCTGTGATGAGGATAAGACAGACAGCAAAGACAGGACAGGATGCAGAGAGAGCAGAGACTCCCTTTCCACTCCCACAGACGGACACGACAGACAGAAGGAGAAAGAGCCACCTGGACAGAGAAGACGACAGGTGAACGGAGAGTCGTAGGGCTGGTGAGAGAGACGGACACAAGTGCCCCGCGGGAGCGGACAGTGAAGGGCAGAGGGGTGCCTCGGGCAAGACAGGACGGAAGGAGGGCAGAGATGGGCACTGCAGAGGGGAAGGCAAAGACAGCTAAAGCAGATCTGCTTCCATGATAAATTCTAGTTTATTGTGGAATAGAAGCCACGAGAAACTACCCAAAAAATGTAAGTTAAGTGTTTAATGGCCTGGGGAAAGGAGTTATAAGCACAGAAACAGTGAGGGAAATCAGGCAGGAAAAGGTGGGTTCTTTTTTTTTTAATTTATTGATTTTTAGAGAGAAACATCAATTTTGTTTTTCCACTTAACTTACGCATTCATGGGTTGCTTCTTGTATGTGCCCTGACTGCCGATCAAACCTGCAAACTCAGTGCATCAGGACACTAACCCGCTGAGATGCCCTGCAAGGGCATGTGCATTGTTTTTTGTTTAAATTTTAGTTTCTTACTGGGTTTATTGGGTGCAACATTGGTTAATAAAATTTTATAGGTTTCAGATACATGATTCTACAATACATCATCTGTATATTATATTGTTTACCACCCCAAGTCAAGTCTCCTCCCATCACCCTTTATCTCCAACTTCTATCTGCCCCCTACTCCCCCTTCCTTTGGCAATCACCATACTATTGTCTGTGTCCATGAGTCTCTTTTTTACTTTGCTTAATTAATCCCTGGATGAAGGGATCATTCTCAGTAAATAAGAGTTGAAAACTTCTATAATAAAAAACCCGGTAATAAAAGCTACCACAAATACAATTAACAGACAAATGGAAAAATTAGAATACCATGCCCCGTGAATGTGACAGTGTACACACAAACATGTACCTACCTGTTGGGGGACAGGGAAGAGACACCCTCTGATTCTTAATGATTTTGGAATAACTCCCAGAAAAATGCATGTGCTGCATATGGACACTGACAGGCACGTACACACACTATATGTGCTCCAACTTCCAGTATAATTTTAGAAGACTCATGTTCATAAGAGTTTATGGACCACAAAAGAAGTACCTGGTAAATTTTAATAAGCTTTAAGTTCCCTATTAAAGAAATCGAAGATTTTTTAAATAGTGCTGTTGAATTGTGGAGAAAATATTGTTAATAAGATGTAAATTAAGACAATCTCCCTGGAAAGCTGTTTGGCTTTTAAAATGTCAGAATCTTATTTTAAAATTCTATTTTTAGGAATTACTTTAAGAAAACAGCAGAATCGCATAGTTTTATGCAGCAGTGATCACTGAGTACTGAAATGCTTATTATTTACTTACGAGTAGCAAAAAATCGGAAGCAACCTGAGTGCCTGGCTTTAGTGTAGTGGTTATAATAAACTGTGGTTTTAGCCATGTAATAAAATATCACAGAGCCATTATATATAATGTTTTTAAGATTTTGATTTGGGAAAACAATTAAAATGTACTGTTAAATGAAAAAAAGAGATGCTGTAAGATGTTTAAAGATGTTCCTAGTTGGTAGGACTATTGAGATTTTAAGTTTCTTTTCTCATGTCTGTATTACTCCCCTCATTTATTTTTATAACGACTGTATATTAGTTTTATGTGTAGAACACTTTAAAAATTAAATTTATTCTGCCTTGCTGATGTAGCTTAGCGGATTGAGTGGGGGCCTGTGAACAAAAGGGTCACCGGTTCAATTCACAGTCAGGTCACCACATGCCCTGATTGCGGACCAGGTCCCCAGTAGGCAGCATGGGAGAGGCAATCACATATTATTGTTTCTCTCTCTCTCTTACCCCCTTCCATACCCTCTCTAAAGATAAATAAATAACATCCTTAAAAAATTATTGTGTTGTATAATTTTAGTTACTGAAAAATCAGTAAAATGACAGTAATTTGACACTCATATACATTTTTAATCAAAAGGTAAATTGTTACTGCTTCAAATAATCTTATCTTTTATGTTGAATCAAGACATAAAATTAATTTATTGATCTCTTTTTCTTCTCCTGCTAGAAGTGGAAGACTTGTTTTCTTCACTTAAACATATCCAACATACGTTGGTAGATTCTCAGAGCCAGGAGGACATTTCACTGCTCTTACAACTTGTCCAAAATAAAGATTTCCAGAATGCATTTAAGATACACAACGCTGTCACAGTACACATGAACAAGGCCAGCCCTCCGTTTCCTCTTACCTCCAGTGCTCAAGATCTTGCACAAGAGGTATGTATTCTGAAGGGATCGTTGACCTGTACAAGGTAGTTGTTAGCAGTGGAAAGGCAGTAGTATCGGAAAACACTGGTGTGAATATAAGGCTTGTTCGACTTAAGTACTACTAATCATAATAATAACTTAGAGTGTTGGGAAAAGTTCACTGCATACATTTTTATCCTGAAAAAATATATACTTATTTCAGTCAGAGCTGTGTTTTATGAAAGGAATTATTTTTGCATATAAAATTATATATTTGCTTGGTAAAAGAAAAATTTGTCTAAATTACTACAGGGAAACGTTATTAATACTTTTTAGTTTAGTTTTACTTTGAGCATTATATATTATAAACTGAAGTAAATGAATAATGATGAGTTAAAAGTTATATCTGATAATTGGATATTATAAATATATAAACTTCCAAGATTTGTTACTTGTGAGTATATTCATATGCTTCATAATGACATTTCAGTCAACAACGAACCACATACACAGCAGTGGTCCCATAAGATTATAATGGAGCTGAAAAGCTCCTTTCTCCTAATGATGTCGCAGCTTTCCTAACGCAATACCACGAGGCATTACTCATGTGTTTGTGGTGATGCTGGTGTAAATAAACGCACTGCACTGCCAGCCCTGTAGAAGTATACCGTGATGTTACAGGTGCCTACAGCATTCAGTGCAGTGACGCTGTACGTGTCGGTAGCCCAGGAGCAATAGGCTACCCCCTGGACCATCTAGATTCGTGTGAGTACACTCTGATGTTTGAATGATGAAATTGCCTGATGGTGCATTTCTCCTAAGGTATCATCATCGAGTGGTGCGTGACTGCATTTTGAAGTTTCTCCTTTATAAACACTGTAGAGGGTCAAAAATAATTAAATTTTAATGTACAGTGAGAGTTCTAGTTTCTGCTGCTTATCGATGTTAAATGTTTCACGTCTTTTAAATTGAAGGTTTTAAAAAATATAAGCCATCTTCTGTCTTGGGGCAGGGGGACATTTTATCATCATTGTAGGATTTTAAATTATTTTGATATTATAAAAAACTAATAATCCTGGAAGCCTGTCGTGTAAATCTATTTCATTGAATCCAGACACAAGACAGAAAGTGGGGTAGGAGAAGGGAGGGACCTCCAAAGCTACGGACTTACGAAATACGTTGAGGAACTTTTCAGATTAGCACAGAAGGTATGGTCCTCATTTAGGTGCCTGTGGTGGGCAGAGAGCTTGTGTGTAAGAGGGCTGAGAGAAATCTAGTGTTGCCCATGACAGGAAGGCGGGACCTAAGAACCTCTTCCCAGAAAGGAAATTTTCCGTCTGCTAGAGTTTAAAAGGGAGCTACTTGAAACCTCTTCTTTGTGCTCATCTTTTATTATTAAAATTAAATATGCAAAATTTTATTCAGAAATTACTCCTGTAGTTTTAACCTATCATAGTTTATATGGTTTTTCTGAAAATTATTTTCTTTACAGAGATTGGAATAACCAACATTACTTTGATCTTATTTTACTCATAAATACAGCCTAACTTCTATTGTATACGGTTGGAAGGAGCACATAATAAATAATTGTAATTCTCTTCCCTATTTTAGGAGGAAGTTTAGTCCAGCTAACTACTGGGCCTTTGTTTTGTTGACTAGAACAATGGATGGAAAAGAAAATGAGATAAGCAAGAGAGGTCAAAATTGTTCCAATTGAAGAATGTGACAGAGACCAGAGAAAGGATGGAAAGAAAGGATAAAAGCTGCAACATAGCTTAAAGGGTTTTAGGACTGGGAGAAGCAGAGAACTAGAAGTGACTTAAAGAGTAAAAGCTTGGAGAGGGGAAGAAATGGTTAAAAAAAGGACTGAAGAATCAATTTTGAATATTAATTTTAGGATGTTAATATAATTACATGATTCGCAATTTCAAAAGTCATATCAAGGAGATTTTTTGAAGGTTGACTTTCACATCCCTAAAATATCTTCAGTAATACTTGAGAATTGTATTGCTGTGATGGTGGAGGGATATGTGGGTGATAGTGACCTCGGGCTGAACTTGGTCTTAAGATAAGTACAAGGTGATGAACCTACAGGGCTACAGTATATGGTTGGGCTGCACGGTCAGTGACTTCGCCTGGAGCTGGGCACGCATAGTTCCATATCAGCCCTGACTTACGGTGCATAACACTTAAGGAGAGTACCCACTCAGAGCTCATCAGAGACGAGTGTTAAGTCTGATAACAAAACTGAAGGGTAAATGGACTCGTGGTCTTTATTTTACAGTTGGGAAATCCTTACCAGTCACCTAATTCAACCTTTTTGTTACATATTTCTGGATATTGAGGCGAAGTGAGGTTTTGTGACTGGCATAACACTAAATAGGCTGCTTATGTTGTTTTTGCCTAATGACTCACTTTTTAGCGTTCATGATTCCAGCTATTTAGTGTGCAGTATGGAAGAGAAATTACCTTACGCTTCAGTTATGCTTTTTTATGTGGAAATTTAATTTGAGGAAAAGAAAAAAAAACACAAGAATTTAGTGAATGAATGTCTTATTAGGGAGTGTTCTTTGCTTTTATAACTTAAAATACCGGTTAAGTATAATTACATAATAGATAATACAGACTCTGAAAACTTCAGATTTGGAGATCTTTATTAAATCTTTGACAACCTAGGATATTTATTAATTAACACAAAGCAAGCTTTTTGGTCATTAAAGTGATTTTATAAAGAAAAGATTGAGCCATGGCTGGTGTAGCTCAGTGGATTGAGCACAGGCCTGCAAACCAGAGGATCATGGTTTGATTCCCAGTCAGGACACATGCCTGGGTTGCAGGCCAGTTCCCAGTAGGGGACGCATGAAAGGCAACCATACATTGATGTTTCTCTTCCTCTCTCTTTCCCTTCTAAAGATAAATAAAATAAACTGTTAAAAAAAAAGAAAAGATTGAGAAATTAAGTTTCAATTAATGAACTTTTTGCTTATCCAGTAAAAATGCAAGCCAAACAGACTAGGAAATAGTATTTGATTATTTGATTCTGAGATATTGAGGTACATACATGTGTGTGTATAAATATGTGGGACAAAAACTTAGAGTCAAAAGAACTCTCACAAGTAAGAAAAATACTACACAGTTTTAAAAGAATGGGCAAAGTACTTGAACAGACACTTCACAAAAAGAGGAGATCCAGTAGGTTTGAAAAGTCCAGCAGAATTAGCCAGCGGAGCAATGCAAAGTAAAACAGAATGAGATACTACTGCTTGGACACCAGAAAGACTAAGATGATAATTTTTTTTTTAAGTCTGGCCATATCAAATGTTGGTGACCTTATGGAGCAACTCCGTCTGAATTACTTTCTCCTTCTATTAGAAGATGTATGATCAGGGACTATGAATTTTATTTTTAATTAATTTAGATTTGCAGTATTTTAAAAAGAAAGACACCCTATTTTAAAAATCAGCGTGTATTACTCAGTGTTGGGTTACTGCATTTGTCTATTGGTAGGACTTTAATGGAATCTTTACTTATTTATTAGAGGGAGAGAGCGAAGTCATCTATTTGTTGTCCTACTTATTCATGTACTCAGTGCTTAATTCTTGTCTGTGTCCCCTGGCATAGTGGGACAACATTCTAACCGACTGAGCTGCCCAGCCAGGCCTGGAATTCTTGGAGAGGATCATTGCTCTGCCATGCTGCTCATACATACAGAACTCCACCATTAGAAGCATATTTTTCTAGGTACCAAAATCAGAGGACAGACAGGCTGGTTTTGTTACTGTCATTACTGTGGGGGCGACTTTCCTGGCAAGTCCCCACAGTTGCCACGGATGAAAGTGAACATGATTGAGACATGATGTGATCTGCTTGGGGATGGAGAAGTGAGCAGTGGCCAGTTTCACAGGGAAAAAGGCCAGCAGTGGCCAGTTTCTTTGAGGAGAAAAAGGCCTCGAGCCCCCTCCTCCAGGCCTTTTATTGGGTTGTAATACACAGGAATACAGGGGGGCAAGGATCAAACAGAAGATAACATTTCAAAGAAATCTGAGGGCTTACTATGAGTCAGTCTGTCAGGAACAGAGTTTTAGGGTTTCCTGCTCGAACCCTTAACATATGAATGAAAGCATTCTTAGCAGAGCAGATTTCACAGGTTTATCAGCAAGTCTTTGTGATGCCAGATTTTTCCCCAGGACACACTCTAGCAAGGCAAGGAGCTGCACCTCCCCCCAAGAGGTATTCAGGCTTAAGGGGATTAGAGCCAGGAAGCCCTTCTCCCAGAGAACATGGGGACTCGGGCTATGTCAAAGTGGGGGCAGGGGGGTGAGAGTCCATTGCTCCTTCTTTGCTGCAGCCCCTCGAGTCCTTCCATGAAGGCCTCCCAAGTGATCAAGTCTGGCTTAGGTTGCTCCCCTGCTGTGAGGGGTCTTACCCGTCGTTGACTTCCGATCAAGCTTTGGGGGCAGGGAGAGGAACTGAGGCAGTGTTTGCTACCAGAGACAAGCTTTGTTTCCTGCTGCTGGCATTCCAGAGGTCGTCCCTCACCCTTAGCCACAAGGAGTTGAGATGCAATTCCTAGAACCAGGCAGAGTGGTCTGCAATACATTACATTGATCCACTTGTGCTCAAATTAGTTTACCTCAAAATGATCTCTTACATTTGATAGGGAAATTACTAAAAGGTGATTTAAAATAGCCATAAGAAGTATTAAAGAATTCACTGGATTCCTGTTTTAATCATGAGTTACTTTTATTTAAAAAATCTATGTATGAACTAACTTCTGTATGTTATTAATGGTAATAATTTAGGTTTGTTATCTGCATTATGTACTCTTTTTGGTGTGTAATTGAGTTTGTAAACAGAAAAGGGAAGAAAATCAGAGGCGTGGACAATGAGAACATGGATGCTATAATCTTCGGGCGCAAGTAGCCCACAGAGCAAAATTTGTACCTTTAAATATTTATGATAGAAAAAAAGATTGAAAACAAATGAACATACAACTTCAGTGATTAGAAATTAAAAAGGAAAATAAACTAAAGCAGAAAAAGGAATTAGGTTGTTTAAATGGAAAGAACAATAGACTGAACATTAGAAGCTGTTTCTTTGAAAAGTATTGGGTTGGCCAAAAAGCCTGTATTTTTTTTTAAGTAAAAGACACAGTTTTTATTTTCACTAATAACCTTATTGATTGGGTACTTTGAGTATGTTGGCTGTCTCCCGCATCGGTTGTTCTCAGTGTCTCTGTTTGATTCCTACTGACTCCAACTGGTCTCCCCGACTGTGGAACATTGTTCCACTGGAAAATCTGCAGCAAACCACCTTTAACACCTTCTGTCAGTAGCAGCACCTCCACACGCTGCAGAAATCCTTTTTTGTATTTCAGTTGCATTTTTCCCTTTCTTGAAATAATAAAGCATAATGTACCAAAAACACATATTTTCTCCCATTTTCAATATTAAAGTGGCTACTCATAATTCACCAGTTGTGATTTTTTTTAACTGCATGCTGATACTACAACTGTCAAAACACAATCTAACAAAATTGTTTCAAATAAAGACAACTAAGAGTTACTAGAGCCATTTTTCCTTGAAAAAACAAAAGGAACTTTTTGGCCAACCCAAAACAAAGTAGAGAACTCTTTGACAAGTTAGGCGAAGAAAAGAATATCAGTAACATTAAGAAATAAAAAAAGCGTGAATGCAGACACAAAAGATTAAAAATTATCATACAGTTATAGCTTTCTTGCATACTTAGTAGCACTTCTAAGTGTGAAAGTGCTACTAAGTATGTGGTTAATACTAAGAAAATACAAATTGTCAAAAGTGACTTAAAAAGAGATAACCAGTAGTTATAGGTAAAATTGAAGGTCAGAATTCCACCCCTAAAAATACCTGCTAGGCCCAGATGATTTTATGTACAAAGTCTATAAAACATTCAGGATCATATAATTCTAACGATAAATACGCTGTTTTGACACAAATGTTGACTATTTTCCCATTCATTGCACCATAACAACTTAGTAAAGCCCCAGGTAGTTTTGTAAACCAGTGTACATGGACCACACTCACCAAATACAGGCCCATCCAACTTAAGAGCATTCCTGTAGAAACCTTAAAATATCAGTAGTTCACATCTAGAAATACATTGATAATTATATGCTAAGAACTGTGCTAAGCAGTTTTTATGGATTATCTCAACTTTTTGAGAATTTTAAATGGTAGCTGCTGTTACAGAGAGGAGAAAACAAAGGATAAAAATTCATTATCAAGTGGCATTTATCTTAGGAATGTAAGAACTGCTTCACATGGGGAAAGTTTTCAGTGTAACTCACTATAATATGTGGGTGGTTCTGTTACTCATGTAAATTTATCCTGTTAGTCTCCAACACTTGAAAAGTGTCTATGACATAAAATATAGTTGCATAAACACGATTAAAAAGTATAAAATCATTGTTAGTCTTACATAGTAGGTTGGGCAAAAGGAAATAGTTCATTCATATGCACCAAAGTTCTGTTCAGTGGTTTTTTTTTTTTTAAGTAAAGAGTGTTATTGTTAACTATGATAACAAGATTGAAAACTCAGAATTTTTAGTGTCTTTCTTTCTTATCAGTAGTTCTTATGAATTTAAATTGTATCTTTTAAAAAAAATACCTGTGCTGGTGCTGGTGATATTTTCTGTAACCTGGAAAGAATTCATCTTTCCATTTGTTCCTTAGGTACAAACTGTTTTGAAGCCAGTCCACCAGAAGGAAGGACAAGAATTAACTGCTTTGCTGAATGCTCCACATATTCAGGTAGAAAATGGAGAGCATGACATGTGTGGTTTTTCCAACAGTCAGAAAGTCTTTTCGAATCAAAGTCCGTGAGGGCTAGGAAAGACCTCAAGCCTTACCTATAGACTGTTTTGATTATTGGGTTATATATTTTCATATTTAAAATTAACACAATTTTTTAAACATCTTATTTAAAATAAATCCCTCTCCTTTTTGGTAATATTTTTCATAAATTTAAATTATGTAAGGCATTGGGCCTTTAAATAGATTTTGTTTTTTGCGGTATAATAATCACTTTAGACTTTCATAACCCATCCCAGATTATACCCTGCTGTACCTAACACATCTTTACTTATTATAAGATACAGGCTACAAAAGATACAGGGTTACATCTGTACTTAATTGGAAAATTTGGAAACACATCTGAGTATATCATTAATTATAGTACTTCTTTTAAAGGTTTAATGATCAGCCATGGCTGGTGTGGCTCAATGCATTGAGCATGGTCCTGCAAACCAAGGAGTTGCCGGTTCCATTCTTAGTTGGGCCACATCCCTGGGTTGCAAGCCAGGTCCCCAGTGGAGTCGCTCGGGAGGCAACTACACGTTGATGTATCTCTCCCTTTTTTTCTCCCTCCTTTCCCCTCTCTAAAAATAAGTAAATAAAATATTTAAGAAAATAAAGGTTTATTGATCAGAGTTCAGGGTAGGACAAAAGTAGATTTATAGTTTTGAGTACACAAAACAGTTGATCCTTGTATTATTATTATTGTAATATTTTCATACAAACAACTGTAAACCTACTTTTGCCACACTCTGTATGTGATTAAGTTACACTCTGTATGTGATTAAGTTAAACTCTCTAGAGAAGTGAGTCATGCTGTTGCTTTAAATCCTGTGGATGTTTTTGAAACAGGCACTTCTCCTGGCCCATGACAGGGTGGCTGAGCAGGAGATGCAACTGGAGCCCATTACAAACGAGAGAGTTTACGAGAGCATTGGCCACTATGGAGGAGAAACTGTAAAAATAGTTCGTATAGAAAAAGCTCGAGATATTCCACTGGTCAGTATTCTGCATCTCTGATCTGAGTGAGATTCTTTCCACACAGGGGTCTTGTGTAGCAGATAGGTGAAGACTCCTTTATGTTTCTAGTAGTTTCTCTCCTTTGAGGTCAGTTGCTTGGAATTTTTTCATGTTCTTCCTCATGCTCCTTATTCCGAGAAAAATTTGTTCATCATCTTTTCACCCATAATCTGATGAAAATAGTAGCTTGTGAAATAATTTTTGAGGAACAAAGGGACAAGTAATGTGTTTTTTTATTCTCCCAGCTTTAAAAAATAATTAGAAAACCTGATTTTTTTATTCAGTTAAATCTGTTGAAACACAATTACTTATATAATTCACATGTACTTAGAAGTATATGTTCCTTAATGTTAACATTTGTTCTATAGCTTATATATGTAAAACTTTTTTCAGTCTCTTCTTAGTCTGTTATTATTGCCTTAATTTTCCTTCCTTAATTTTCAGAGCATATTCTTGAATCCTGATCTCAAATTGTGTTTTGAATAGTATGATACATGAAATAGGGCCCGTATGTTGTGGGCAGTTATTGTAACTTAGTGTTCTTCCCCGTGAGAAAAAAGAAATTGGGAGTTATGACAAAAGTTTGGGAGAAAATATTACAAACTCAGTCTACTTTCAGGCTTTTTTCTGTATTTTATATTTCTATTTTTTGAATGTATATATTTCAGTTGTGTTTCTAATTCATGTAATAAATATTAATGTTTAATACATTTTAATATGCATTGGATGTCGCTATAATATTTAACATTTGTATTCAATCAGATTAGTATTCATTCCTTTATATATTTAATTTTTAAAAAGGAGTTTTATAGTTATGTCATGTTCACTAATTACACCTAAATATAGTATAATCATTTTGAATAGTATCCAGAATATAGAGAACAAATTTGATTATAGTCTTCACACTGTTGTTAAGCAAGTACATTTTTCTGTTGTATGCTTCAAGAGTTTCCTTGATTTTAGAATTTTAATGAGTGGAATGTTTCTGAAACAGGATATGTGAGGAAAATGGTCAACTTTTGAACCTAATTATCTAGCCGTGTAAGTCATTTTTTTCCTCAAGATGACTGAAGGCTAGTATTATTGAATAGAAAACATAATTTTAAAATGAAGAAATGTTCAACCAAATTGCATTTTTATTTTAAAATTGAATTTTGAATTATTTTAGGGTGCTACAGTCCGTAATGAAATGGATTCTGTCATCATCAGTCGGATAGTGAAAGGAGGCGCTGCAGAGAAAAGTGGCCTCTTACACGAGGGGGATGAAGTTCTGGAGATCAATGGCATTGAAATTCGGGGGAAGGATGTCAATGAGGTTTTCGACTTATTGGTAAGTTGACGCAGGTAGAATAATAATCGGTAAGTTCTTGAAAGCTGGGTTTGTAGTTGTTAGACATCAGAATAAAATATTTTAAAGCATTTAAAAAATAATTGTTAAGAGCATGAGATCATTTCTAGCCTGTCGCATAATATCATTTCTACAACTTTTATCAGTAATATTATTTAAGGATGGGCACTACTGATATTTTTCATTTTGAGCTTTATTAGATAATGTTTATTTACCTCTGAAGTCACTAATGTATCTCATTAATTTATTCAACATATATTTATTTAGTGCCTCCTATGTGCGAGCTGCTGGAGAAAGAATAACAAAACAAAGTACATACCTTCATGATTTTCATATTCATTTTGTTTATTAGCCACAATTGATTGTCATTTACTTAACAACATTAGGTAATAGCAGTGGTATACATCTACATCGTCCAGTAGCTACATGTGGTATTTATCCCAGTTGAGTAAAGTTTAAAATTGAGTTTCTCGTTTACACAAGCTATGTTTCAGGTGCTCAAGAGCAGTGTGCAGTCATTGGCTCCCATATTAAGCTGCATATGTAGGACATTGCTGCCACTGTGGGAAGTTCTATTAGTGCTCACATAATCAAGAAGCCATTTGTACACAACTTCTGACAGCAATTTATGACCACTACCTGTATACCCACAAATAAGATTTATATTCTTACTGACTGAGCATTAGTCGTTACAATAAAATCTCTCCTATCAGCTGATGTCTGTTGAAGAATCAATCTAAAACATGATTATATCCTTATTTGCCCTAAAAATCCTCTCTGCCCTGTCCGTTCATTCATTGCTTTGGTAGAGCAAAGTGCCAGTGGTCATTGTTTTTAGCCCTTGTTTTATTGGCCGCTCTCTCTAGGTAGAGCGCTGCTTCCTGTCTCAGGACCGGAAATTGTAGTCATTATCACTGTCTAGGTTGGAGGGATCTGAACACTCCACTAAATGATGTGCCTGGACGTGATAGGGGACCTAGCAGTGAGGCTGTATATAGTTAACAAATAGAATGGGTGGCAGAGACGGGGCATCCGGGAAATAAGAATATTTGTATATTTGCATCACTTTTCTAATTCTGGTCACAATTATTATTTCAAATTCTGTGTTAAAATTGATGTGTGTCAGAATAGATAACCCAAAATTGTTATAGCACTGTGGTATTGTCCAACCCTTTACTGTGGAATCTTCCTAAACTCCACTGAGTAGAAGACCAGAACCCAAGACTTATGGGCTAAATGGCCTTCCCCATTGTGCCAGAATCACAGAATGCCGTGTTACTGGGCAGTTCTACTACAGTGGAGTCCATGAAAGGCAGAATTTGTGTTTCCTGATGAAATGGGATTAATCTTTACCAATTTTCTTGAGTCTCCTGATGGTTCCAGAATAGTCCAGTTTAGGCAATATTCATCATAAGATCATGAAATTATTTTCATAAGTATGGATTTTAAAAATTACCTGATCTCTTCATTACAGTCTGATATGCATGGTACTTTGACATTCGTTCTGATTCCCAGTCAACAGATCAAGCCTCCTCCTGCCAAGGAAACTGTAGTAAGTGATTTTTTTTTTGTCCATTGCTTACTGTCTGATGGCTACTTTTAACTTTTTTTTCTAAATTAATGAAGTTTATTTTCTAGAGTAGTTTTAGGTTCACGGCAAAATGGAGCGGAAAGTCCAGAGTTGCGTATACTTCTTAACTGCACGCACGGGTAATCCCCCCACTGTGCACATCCTGTACCGGAGTAGCACATTGTTACGTCAGTGAGTCGATGGTTCCACTACCATTCAGAGTTCGTAGTTTACATTAGGGTACACTTTTGGTGGTGGGCATTCTGTGGGTTTTGGCAAATGCATAATTATATATATTCGTTCACCAGTGTATCATATGGAATAGTTGCCCTGCCCTAAAAACCCTCTATGCCCTGTCTGTTCATCAGTTCTTCCCTGCAGCTGTGGCAACCACTGATCTCTATAGTTTTGCCTTTTCCAGAATGTCATATGGTTGGGACCTTACAGCACACAGATGGCCATTTCAGGTTGGCTTTAACATTAGTGATAAACATTTACATTTCCTTCATGTCTTTTCATAGCTTGGTAGCACATTTCTTTTTACTGCTGAATAATACTCTGTGGTCTGGATATACAGGTTTATCCACTCACCTACTAAAGAACACCTTGGTTGCTTCCAGGTTTTTGTGGTTATAAATAATACTGCTTATAAACATCCATGTGCAGGTTTCTGTGTGGACATATGTTTTCCATTCTTTAAACTTAAGTCCATACAAAAACTTGTACCATAAATGCTATTGTTTGAGTATCAGAAATGCTGCCCTAAATATTTCTGGCACTCAAATGAAAACAAAGAAAGTCAGTAGATTTTATTTAAGTAAATATGAAATATCAGTATTTCAAATTGAGTAAACTATAATTTCAGAGTTTTTATGATTTACAACATTGAACTTAGTATTTCTGTCATTATATATGGGTTTATATAACTTAAATCTACTTAGTGTAGGGGAGGAAGTGCTTTTACAAAGTATGTACAACACTCACAATGTGTATTGCTCTTTATATTAACTAGCTTTATGAAAAGACAGACTTTCTTAGCTTATGACCCAGCAGTTCCATTCCTAGGTGTGTTCCAAGAGAATTGAAAACATGTCTCACACAAATTTGTGAGTGTTCACAGCAGCATTATTTATAATAACCAGAAAGTAGAAACAGCCCAAACGTCTGCTAGCTAATCATGGGAAATGAAATATGGGATATTATTGGGTAATAAAAAGGAATTAAAGTACTTACGTGATATACTTCAGCATGGAATGAACCTTGCTAAGTGAATGAAGCCAGTCACAAGAGGGTATGAAGCTCATTTATATGAACTGTCCAGAATAGGTAAATCTACAGAGACAGAAAGCAGCTAGTAGTTCCTTAAGTTTAGAGGTGGGGAGTTAGGAGAGAATGGGGGGATTTCTAATCGGTAGTGTGTCTTGAAAATTGATAGTTGCACAGCTCTGAATTCACTAAAAACCATCCAGCTATATACATGGGTGACGTATAGTGTATGAATTATACCTCAATTAAAAACTATAGACTTTAAAGTGCTGGATTAATATGGAAGCCTGATATATTACATGTTACTATTCTTAACTTTTAGAAAAGCATGACAGTTTGAAAAAGAGCACAGTTTCTTTTCTTAATATTTTATCACAGTTATACTTATCATCTGCCTTTGATTCCATGTTTTTTCCTTATTCTTTATGGAACATACTGAATTTGATAGTGCATTTTTAACCTTCCTTCTGTTCAAAGTTCTTTGTAGTAGGAGAAATGGGGAACTAGTTTGTCTCTAAATTTCAGTAACCTGACTCTCTGCCCTACGCCTTTCCACATCCCTCTCCTAGGACCAAGCCCTGAACTGCACAAGTAGCTCTGCACTTGGAGCAGACACCGCAGAAAAGGGCTGGAATGTGTCCTTACTTACCATGGCTTTAAAAAAGCGGGGGGAGACGGAGATACAAAAAGATGCTCTTTTAAAATACAGCATTTGTTGGCAGAGATCTTTTCAAAGTAGAAGGTGCTGGTAATATTTCTATTTTCCCCTCATTTCCTCCTTTTACTGTGAAGAACTCTCAGTTCCATTACCTCTTCCAAAGTTTTTCTCAAAGCTGACTGGCTTAAAATGAACTGCTATTATTAAAGTTCACACTGAAGGATTCCAGAAAGAAAACAGTGATAGGAAATCATATTTGGCATATTCAGGATAATTATAAGTGATTTTAAGAAACTAAAACCAATTTATTAAGCATTATTGTGGTACAGGTGAGGATCTAGTAAGAGCAAAGGTATCTTTCTGATGTTTTGTGATACTAGAAACATGTATTTAAAATAAACAAAATAGGTGTTATCTGAAACATCACTGTGATCATTTTCTGAATTGTAACGTCACTGATGGCGAGAGTAAACTGTGTCAGGAGAAGGACTCCCTCATGCATCACACACGTAGCAGCAAGTGGCTGCTTTGTCGTTTGCAGAGGGCAAGAGTTTTGACACCTTTGTAGTTCACTTCCTGGGTGACTGACCCATTTATCCCAGGAAACATGCGTTGCTTAAACTATGTAGCTTCTTTCTCACCACATTGCCTTAAAAAAAAAAGAGTCCCCAAACAAATCTTTCGTCTGTCTAATGCTCTAATCTAACAGGAGTAAACTGAAATGTAGTGGGATCACACTGGACATTAGTGATGGAATATGCACTAGAGAATTCAGATTGTTGACTGTCCAGTAAACACTAGCTATTACGTTTACTTACTCTGTGCCAGGCACGGTATTAATTGGTTTATATGTTTTATCTCATTTAATCCTCAGAGCATCCCTATGAAATACATAGTATTTTTTGGACTATGAGATGCACTCCCTCGAGTCGAGGGGGGCGGTCTTATAGTCCGAGCCCTGGCTCGCAGGGAGGGGGGGCGGTGTGGCAGTGGAGCAGGGTCACAGGTTATAAAATATTTTACCACATTTTTTTTTTGCTTCAGAAACTTTTTTTTCTATTTTTCTCCTCTAAAACGTGACTGCATCTTATGGTCCAGTGCATCTTATAGTCCTAAAAATGGTAGATATCGTTATTATTCCCATTCAACAGGCATTGAAACTGAACTTGAAAGGGTCACGTTAATTGTACTGTCCTACTTGGTAAGTGACTGAGTCAGGACTAGAACCTCTGCTCATTCCAGAGCCTGTGCTCTTAACTGCTGTGTAGTATAACAGGTAATGTCCTTCAAAACCACTAAATACTGGGTTTCTACCTTACTGTTTATCATCAGTCCAAAGAAAATAGTTAGAATACCATGATAGAAAATTGTAACTGTAGATGAGTTAACAACCTCTTAGTAACTGTGTATGTGATAGTCTGGATTCTGAGAATAACAAAAGCATATTATGAGATTTTAGTATTTGAAATTACCTCTAGTAAGTCCGGGAGCATGCCTTCACGAAGTCTTTTGATTTGTGGGGTCTAGCCTGGTAGGATAAAGAGAAGTCATTTAAGGGGAACTTAAAGGCTCAGGATAGGAGGATGCTAAAATTACAGTGTAGGGATCCAAACCACAGAACTACCCACTAGCCCAGTGATGTTAATTATTGAAAAATTTTCTTAGGGATCCCAAGTAATTTTTTTCCTTATAATGAGTATCTCTTGGATCTCTTTTGTGTATGAGGCACTGTGCTAAGCACTGGGTTTTATGAACATGACAAAGTAATTATAGCTTGCAGTAAGTAATAAGGTAGGAATAAGCAACTAGTGAACATTGAGAATAAAAAGAAGAAGGATGGTCTGGAAAGGTCTCTTGGAGAAGGCAACATGAATCTGAGACCTGTGGGATGGATGACCAGGCCTGTTCATTGCCAGCAGGAATTTCAGGTATAATTTCTGAAGAACTGTACTGGGAAAGCCTGAGCAAAGTGAGAGCATGGAAAGGTGGGGAGGGGATTCTGAGAGATGCCGCAAGAGAGGAAGGTAAGGCCAGGTCAAGTAGGTCTGCTTGGCCATGGCAGGGAGTTCGGATTTTAAACACAGTAAATGATCTGATTTGTATTTGAAAAACCACTCTGGCTTCTGTGTAGAAATTGAATCAGTACAGCCAATAAGGGGAAGAGTCGTCAAGGAGCGTGTATAAAGAACACATGGACAAAGCCAAAGAGGGGGCAGGATTGAGGATGGGGCAGGTGAAAGTGGTGGGGTGTGGGGGTTGAGACAACCATACTGGAACAACAATTTTTTTAAAAAGGAAGCAAGGGGAATTAGGAAACTGTCACTGAAGTCATTACGAAGCATGTAATGGCTTAAACTTGGATGGTAGCAGTTGTAGTGGGAAAAATGAATCAGGCTGTGTTCTGGAAGTAAAAATGGCAGGACCTTGTAATGAAAGTGGAGAGTAAAGGAAAGGGAGGAGGCAAGGATGCTTGAGCAAGTGGGTGGATAGTGGTGCTGCTTATAAAGGGAAATCTGGAGGAAAACAGATCTGGGGAGAAAGATCAAGAGGTCCATTTTACAGGTTTGGGGTGCCCGAGGGGGCATTGCAGAGTTACTGTTTTACAGGTCAGAAATGGGAGCGGGCTGTCTTTATTACATTCCTTCTGCTTCTGTTAAGCTTTGGAAGCTTTTTAGTACCTCAGCTTGTTAGTGGCTGACAATACAGTGTTTTGCATACTCTTATACCTGTTTACAATCTACAGAAAGATGAACTTAATTGAGGAAAACAGAGGAACCTAAGAAAAATATTGCCTTCCAAATACTATTAAACTAAACCTTCCTTCTTTCAACTCTTAATTTCTCTGTACTAATGAAGAAATGTAACACTTTAATTATATTTATGCTCAATATTTTGTGTTCCCATTTCATCATTATTTTTTTCCACTTTATCTTTTAGATCCATGTAAAAGCTCATTTTGACTATGACCCTTCAGATGACCCTTATGTTCCATGTCGAGAATTAGGTCTGTCGTTTCAAAAAGGTGATATACTTCATGTGATCAGTCAGGAAGATCCAAATTGGTGGCAAGCCTACAGGGAAGGGGATGAAGATAATCAGCCCCTAGCTGGGCTTGTTCCAGGTAAGGACAATGTGGTAGAAAATACATAGTTTTAAAAAATTTACAAAACAAACCTTCATAGAGGAAACTAACTTTTCCATCCCTTTTTAAAATGATATAATTAGCCCTGGCTGATGTGGCTCAGTGGGTTGAGTGGTGGCCTGTAAGCTCAGGGGTCGCTGGTTCAGTTTCTGGCCAGGGCACATGCCTGGGTTGCAGACCGGGGTGTGTGAGAGAGAGGCAACCGATTGATGCATCTCTCACACGTCAATGTCTCTCCCCCTCTCTTTCTTCCTCCCTCCCCATCTCTAAAAATCAGTAAATAAAATCAAAATGATAATAATGAATAAAAATGATGTACTTACTTTTCTTATAGTTGTGTTTTTATGTTATAGCTGTAGCATACGTATCTTGAATATAATTGTGGCCAGTTTGTTGGGCTTTAGGATGAAATGATGATGTAATATAATATTTATATTTGTCCTTTATGCGTATAATAATAAGGTTACAGAAAACCAAAAGTCATCGGTTTTTAAATCCAAAAGCTGGAAACAGATTTTGTCTGTACTTGGTCATATTTCAGGAAAGGAGGAACGAGCTTCTCACGTCAGGTGTGGAGGGTGATGCCGCACCCTTGACTCTCCGCAGCACCAGTTTTGCAGGGCATCCCTCTAGAATCCTGGAGCACTGAGCAGCCGTCATGGTTCCCTGCTCAGGGCTTCTGCCAAATATTGATTCGATATCTTCTCACCAAGCCAGCCTTAGCCCATGAATATTTAGAACTGGTGTTTATTGACAGGTTGATTGCATTGACTTTCTGAAAGTACTCGTATGTAGATCAGTCAAGGAGATTTCAGTGATAGTATTTGCAAGTCTTTTTATAGGACAAGTAAATAGACCCTCCTTAGTTTGAGCAGGATACTGGTTTTCTGTTAGAAGGATTTTTAAAAGGTCATAATGTTCATTGTGTCCCATTAATGTCTGCCTCTGCTTCAAAAAGTTACACATGTGTATACTATAAAAATGTGCTATAAAAGTACAACACTGTAATGTTTTTAAACATTTTAATATGTAAGTGATTTAAATTATTTTCTTATTTTTTAGTCTGTTAAAGACAAGTATTCATTTTTAAATATTAGTGCTGTTAAAATTTTCCCTCTAGTCGTAGTTACTGGTTTGCGAGGAATGCATCTGGACAGCTCCTGGAGAAGACCTGGTTTCCTCTAAGGCTGCTTGTGTGTGTCAAACTCAGTGTTTTTGCTTATGCTTTATGAAACACACTACATTTTATCGATTATCCCAGCATGGATGGAAATTGCCTGGAATTAGTATAAAAATTAAATGTAAAAGTAGAACTTTAATCTAGCATTTTCTAGGTAAAACTATTTTTAGCCTTCAGAAAAAATATATTTAGTTTTAAGATAGGTTTCTAAAAGAAGATGAAAGTCAGAAACCTTGAAAGCTTCCTATATTGAAAGCTTAATCCTGAAAGGAAAAACTGTGTTTTTCATTTATCTGTGTCATTAATAAAGATGACAACAAAAAAATCATTAAAACATATGCATACATATATGCATACAAAATAAAAGAGATATAAAGAATAATAAATGCAAGGGAATATGTTTGATGGTATCTTGGAATCAAAAAGTGATGAATGTTTACATACTGTTTTAGAAAGTGAACTTCTAGAATGAATTTGGTTGATCTCAGATAATTCTAAATGATCAGAACTGTTGTAAAATCCAGCATAGTGCTTTCCATTTAGTAATGCTCAATGAAAGCTTTGTAAAAATTGAACTATTAAATTTTCTAACACTAGAGTTTATTATTGATCTTTTCTAATATGTGATATATTCTAGTAATACATGCCTTAGGACCAGTTGAGAATGAGGTTAAAACTTACTACTTTAAACATTTGGAGGCTTAAAATCACAGCTGACACGCTCTTAGGTGGCAGAAGGAATTCGAAGGGAATATTAATGATTAGTTACTTCTGGTGTTTTTCCTTTTAACTTCTTTGTCTTAAATATTTTCTTTTTCTTTTTTTTCTGTTAAGGGAAAAGCTTTCAGCAGCAAAGGGAGGCCATGAAGCAAACCATAGAAGAAGATAAGGAGCCCGAAAAATCAGGTTGGCAATTCCTGGTTGACATTAGTGAGAGGTTTCTTGGGTCTTCATCTGGAACCACATTTAAATTTACATATCAGAACTGTCAAGAAAGATGTATTCACAGCAGGACTGGTGTGAGAGGCAAAACTGATTATCTTAGACCGTGAAGAAAGGGCGAGGTGTAAATATTAAAGGTGGTTGATCTATAATATGAGATTAATGGAAAATTATAAATATTACGCTGAAAAAGTTTTTCTATGAACACTGTAATCAGTGTTCATAAATTTAAAAACTAATGAACCAAATAAACTGATGAACAAAACAGAAGCAGAGACAGAGATGCGTGGAACAGACTGACAGCTGTAGATACATAGAAGAGGCCACCAATCAATGTTTCTCTCTCACATCAGTGTTTCTCTCTCTCCCTTCCTTCCCCCCTCTCTAAAATCAGTAAGTATGTCCTCCCGTGAGGATTTAAGAAAAACTTATATACATAACACATAGACACAGACAACAGTGTGGTGATAGCCAGAGGGAAGGTGGGGTGGGGGCAGGTGGAGGTGAGCAACGGGGGGAATGGGGGCGGAAACAGATTATGATGGGGTGATAATCACACGGTACAGTGTGCGGGTGATTGATTGAGTTGTACACTTGAAACCTGTGTGGGTTTGCAAACCAGTATCACCTCAATAAATTCAATTTTTAAAAAACTGTAGCTTCTTCAGTTGAAAAACTGAGTTCTTCAATTTGAAATATGTAGCTTTATTCAAGGAAACAAATACCATATTTAGTTATGTTTATGATTATTCAACAGGAAAGCTATGGTGTGCAAAGAAGAATAAGAAGAAGAGGAAAAAGGTTTTATATAATGCCAATAAAAATGATGGTAAGTTCCACTTTTAGAGGTGGCGAGATTTATATTTGGAAGAGGCCCAATATTTAACACTTCAAAGAAATTAAATTGATGTTTTCAGGTAGTTTTGTTTCTAATCCTGTTTTACCTCTTAATATGACACAAGGGGTTAAGAAAGTGATTTAGCAAAAGTGATTTTCTTTTGGAATCTTACGCGTAACAGTGTTTTGAATTCTGAGAAAAACTGGTATAAAAATTGAAGTATGATTAACATATAGTGTTATATTGATATTCCTTTAATTTTGAGGAAACTGAATTGAAATTCCTCTTAATTCTTTCCTACTTAAACTCTTTATTTTGAAATGAATACAAACTTCTAACAAATTCTAACAATATACCTCTATTTTAAGTGAACAGTGAATGTTTTGTCCATAGCACCTCCTATCACCAAGGCAGCCCATTCCACAGAGCCTGCCTCTTGCTGGCAGGGTCAGGCACACAGCAAAGTCCAGGAGTTTCTCTCTGCATTGGAAGCTCTCGTGACATGTGGCTCATGTTCCCAAGTGACAACATTCTGCAGGACCTGAGTGTTGGCTGTTGGGTTCACATTGGGTACCTGTTGTCTTAGTTCAGCAGTTTCTACCGCATCCAATTTTTTATAAACCAGACCTTACTGACTTCTTTCATTACCTTCTTCAATGGTCCTTTTGGGCATTAGACTTCGTTACCTCTGCTTTGGTTCATGTTGGAAACAAGGCAGATAATAAAGTCAAGGCAATCTTCAACTTCTTAAACAATTTGTAAGGCTTATTTTCTCAATACCTTGAAATATTTTTCAGGCAGCATAAATTAAAGCAATGAAAATAAAATGTTGTAGATTGTTGAAAAACTCCATATAGAACTAAATCTGAGATTCCATCTATTTTAATTAAAATAATTTCCAAAATAAATATCCTTATTGGTAATTGATATGTAACTAAGAAGATTTATTAAATTTTTAATCCTTTTTTCTAAATGCAGGTGATTATTTTCATCATTTCAAACATACTAAAATTAATCTTTTCAGTTATAATAGCTATTCTATTCTAGAAAACTTGCAAATCTGACGTCTACAAATCATAAACTAAATCTGTAAATCACAATTCTGCCACAGTCTGATTATACATGTTAGAAGAAGGAACTCAGATTTTTCAGAGTGAAAAGCATTTTGGGAAGGGAAGGAATTACATTTGTTTGTAATGGTGTCATCATAATTAATAATTTTATTAATGATAACTGTTTTTATAATAACTTTTATTCTTGGGGGCTAACTGTACATGCTTTAGAGACTTTCATCCATTTAGTTCTCACAATAAATTCCATGAGGTTCCAGATTGATAAATTCAAATTCGGATGTTGAAGTCCCCTGCTTGGGTTCTTATAGCTAAGATATAGTTGGGCTGAAATTTAAACCAGTACAGTTTGCATTCCTACTCTGCGCTGTGTGCTAAGCACACATGAGACTAAGATGCCCCCCTGCCCCGTGGACTGACAGCCGAGAGGGTCTGACCACACACTGGCTCTCAGTCGGGCGGATCCATGTGAGTGAGAAGGGGACGGGCTGCTGCCATCTGCCTTCGTTTTAACCACTTAACAGCTCTGGTTTCATCTGAATTACGGGCTTTAGGAACATACCCCACCTGCGGTAATTTATACCACTTTTTGAGTCATGACCTCAGGTATTCCAGAAAAGTAAGTGTAAATGCAGGAAATTTAAACAGCAGACACAACCCGTTTTCAAGTTCTAAAATCACAGAAAAGTATTTCAGCATTTTCTGATATCACCAGTTGTAGCCACTACTTGTGAATGTTTGTGCTGGGCGTTATGCTCAGCATGTACATTAGGTCTAGTCCTTAAACCAACTCTCTAAGTAAAGTGTTAGTATCCCCATTTACAAGAATAATAGATATTACTCTAATTAGTTTATCCCCTGGTGCCACATCCTCTGTCAAAATATTGGCTGTAAATTACCTGTGTTACATAAGAATCAGTATAGTTATATTGTATTAAACATTCAAAAACACAGTGTGAAACAAGAAAAGCATTTCTAGAACAATTACTATATGGTCTGATGTATTTTCATGGTGTCCTGGGAAGGATATAATGACCGGGAAGGTGCTCATGGAAGATGCTCATGCTCCTATCTTGATCCAAAAAGTTAGCGTTTTAATAAGAAGTTATGCTCTTTCCAATTTTTTTGGAAGACCTATGGATATGTTTATTACATAGCACTAATTCTGTCTGAAGATCTTTTTCTTTTTTTAAAGACTATGACAATGAAGAAATCTTAACTTACGAGGAAATGTCACTGTACCATCAGCCAGCAAATAGGAAAAGACCTATCATTTTGATTGGCCCACAGAACTGTGGCCAGAATGAATTGCGTCAGAGGCTCATGAACAAAGAGAAAGACCGCTTTGCATCTGCAGTTCCTCGTGAGTTTGGATGCTTTCTGTTTTCCTGTGCTTTTTAGTTCACCACCTCAGAACCTGGCTGTGTAGGGAAGTTCCCGTCTGTTTCATCAGAGCAGTGTTGCCCTGAAAAGAGGAATCTTGTTTTAACCAAATCTTCTTGGGAAATTTCTATTTTTCCTAAGAATGTGGTACTAATTACTTTCTAAATGAATTTTATTTTGTGCTTCTTATGGTTCCCTGTTCAATAAGAAGTCACTTCTGTTTTTTTAAACTGATGCAGAAGATAGATATTTAGACATAATCTCTGAACACAGAAGTTCTGTTTAAAAATTATATGGTACCTTATATTGTACCTAACCTTATGGAAATAAACTTCTGGAAAGGTGAGTATTAATATTTTAAATGCAAGATGCAGTAACTTAAAATGTAAGAAAGTTATAAATGTAACTACTATTAATAAGATACTAAAAACATATTTTCATTTCTCTAGAAATTAAATCAGTGTTAAACACATGGACTCTTAACATTTTATCAATTATTTTGTTTTCTGTATTATAAAGTAAAATCATATTCTGATTAACAAGATTATGTCCCACCCTTACCCTGATCTATGCCAATTATTTTTATCTAATTGTATTTGCCCAGATACAACTCGAAGTAGGCGAGACCATGAAGTAGCTGGTAGAGATTACCACTTTGTCTCTCGGCAAGCATTCGAGGCAGACATAGCAGCCGGAAAGTTCATTGAGCATGGTGAATTTGAGAAAAACTTGTATGGAACCAGCATAGATTCTGTACGTCAAGTGATCAACTCTGGGAAAATATGTCTTTTAAGTCTGCGTACACAGGTAAAGCTCTTTTGGTTTAGGGTATTGAACTTGAGGGCATTTTTTGCAAAGTAATTTAGGACAATTGTATTTTGGTCCATAGGACCTAATTAAGTTCTTACACAGCTTTTTCCCACTGCTTCCCTATGAGAAACCAGACAGATTGCTAAATCTCAATTTCCTCAGCAAGTAAAATACGTACATACCTACATATATTCACGAACATATTTTCTAAAACATAAAATACAGTGACTGGAGTACTTTAAGGATTTTAGAAATTATAAAAAATATTCCCTTTTTTATTATTCTGAGGAAAATTAGAATAGAGGTCATATTTGTGGCTTTAAGTACCATAGTTCAAGTATTAGCAAGTATCATAATAGATGCTTAGTTGTATTAAATAATGAAACTTCCATTGGTTTCTGTTATTTCGCAGACTAAGCAAAAACTTTAAAATAACAGTTGCTTTTTGATTTCCATTAAAAAATAAAATTATTTGAGGAATTTGGGATTTTTAAGATTTTGTTTGTTGTGGAAAAGTTTTCCTAGACCATGTAGCTTCAGCATGAAACATCCCTTAATGTGGCAGAATCTGCTGCCCTCGGTCAGCTCAGGAAACCTAAGCAATGGTCATTAAATAATGTACAAGAAAGGGAGTTGACTCCAAAACGGCTCTGTCGAAATAGTGGTTAGGTTTTCTTTGTTCTTTAGCGGACAGAGAGTTTAGTCTCTACCATTTCAGTTGTAAACATTTAAGAGAAGTATAAATATATTTACTAAATCCCTTCAGAATTCTTATATTATTTGGGTTAGCAGTTGTACCAAAGAAACAGAGAAATTAAGCATGTTGTCTTAATAATGTTTTTAGATTTAAAAATAGGGGGCATGTCCCTGCAATTCCCATTCTGATAGAGCGCCTCAGCTTGTAGACACACTCTCATGCGGTGGAAAAAGCGAGGTGGGAACCACGACCTCCTCATTCAAACTGAGTCTGCTTTTTCTTGGGTGGACTTTTCCAGAATTTTTTTTTCTTTTTGGATGTGTACGTGAGGTTTTTCTCTCTGATTGTGCTTGCATTTAGACCCTGGGATATTATAAGGTGACTGCTCATTTCTAATTTCTCTGAAATGAATTTTTAATGTGGTTATTAAAATATGCTGTGATCTTATGAGCAGGGTATTTGTTGTAATCTTTCCATCACATAGTTGTAATCTTTCATTGTCATTCACTTTTATTTCATTACATCAAAAGAGCGAACCAACATCGTGTGTGTATTTGTGTGTGATTTTATAAGTACACAATATATTTTTACGGTGAATGGTAGGATCTTAAAATACTGCGAATTTTTTGTTACAAAGATGTTTGGAAACACTTATAGTAATTTTTTAAGTGACATTATTATATTGTATTTATATTATTGGGAAGTAGTTAAGTGATGAAAATTTTTTTAAAGATCCAAAACATCTTTTCTTTTCAGTCATTGAAGACTCTCCGGAATTCAGACTTGAAACCGTATATTATTTTTATTGCACCCCCTTCACAAGAAAGGCTTCGGGCATTATTGGCGAAAGAGGGCAAAAATCCAAAGGTAGAGTTATTACACTGTTCTACTATTCCATTGAAAATAAACATGGAACAGCCATGGCCTAATCTGTCACAATGCTTACAAGCTGCATTACATCAGCTTGAGCTTTCAGACTGATTATTCTTTCTGCCATACCGCTTTCCCCCAAACCGCCCTGGTTCCCAGTTGCCTCTGGCTGGATGGTGGCAGTTCTCCAAAGAAGGCAGCTTCTGTCGTTCTTCCCCACACATTCCCTATTGTGACCCCAAATGTATGGTAGCTTTGGCAGTCCTCACCATTTCTTCAGTATTCTGAATGTGTGTATGTTATTTCCAGCAGAGATTATGTGACATCCCCCATACCCCCCCATAAAGGACTCACTGGATTCTTAGGGATGGCCCCCTGTTCTCTGTAGAGACATTCTGCACATGCAGGGAGCCAGCATTAGCTGCTTTAGTTTTTCTCTCTTTTCTCGTCGAAATTTTATGTTCTTTTTGTCTCCTTCCTTTGGTCTTCTCTCATGATCTGAAATGGAAAACTTTAAAAAATATTTTCGTTGCTGGACATGATTGAGGCGGTCCTATTACACTAACCATTATTAATTATTATCCAGTGAGAATATGCTGATAATCAGAGAGCATTGGCTTTTTATTTAAATGTGAGAAATGAAAATTCATGTGAATTGCTATGTCAAAGTAACAAACACTCTTCCCTGGGTTTTGCTGATTTTATAAACATTTCTATTTAAGAGAAATCACTCAGGTCTCATCTCATTTGCTGTGCCTCGAAATCTCTTTAAAGTCATTCAAAACACAACAGCACACCTTTCCTTTGTTTCTTGACTGTTTACCACCGCCATCTTTTTTTCAGTGTAGATCTACTTACATTTCCTATTCAAACTGTGTATATGAGGACATGGTATTTTTCAGTGTCTTAGACTATAGGCATCAGGGGCTTTCACATCCCACATGTTGAACGTAATGTTTAGGCTACATAGGCTGGCTGGGTACACTAGTGTTTCACCCCCTTTTTATTTTTTGCAACACAATTACAAGTTCACAGATAAGTGAAGTCAGAATATCTGTTGTCCTTGGCCCCTTGGGATAATCACTTGCTGTTCTTGAGGAGGATCACAACTTATAATAAGGAAAACAAGAGTAATAGTCTGTGAAACTTAGAAGCCAGTAACCACTTTGGTAAACAAGAAGTGACATGGTTGTTCAGGGGAAGGGCTGCACCTTAAGGACCAGTGGACTCCATGCTACTTGTTCAGCCTTATCTTCTGTTTTCGAATATACCACTTTTTAGTTAGGCTGTTCGTCTCAAGGGTTCAGTATCACGCATGGGACTGTATACCATTCTAGAACATGTTAAGCAACTTTCTTCTGTTTAGTGGTATCTGGCAGTGCTTCCATGGAATTTTTTAACCTACTTTATTTTGAATTATTTATGCCAAATTAAGTGAGGTCTAGAAAGATATCAGTTATACGTATTTTTAAAGCATGGATTTAACCATTACCCACATGTTTTAACAGTATATAATATGCTTGGCATTCTAATTAGAGTTTTCTAATTTTTGAAAGTCATCTTCATTGAGGGTTACTTTACGTATGTTTTAGTTATATAATCACTGAGTTTCAGCAGAATACATGCCCATGTAAGTACCTACCATGCCAATCAAGATTGAGCATTTTTATCACTCCAAAAAATTCTCAGGCCCCTTTAAAGTTAATACCCCTCTTTTCTTCCTTAGGCAAGCAGTGATCTGCTTTATATTACTATAGGTTTGTCTGTTCTGGAAGTTAATGTAAATGGGACCACACAGTATGTTTTAAGTTTATATCAGCTCTTGATTAATATGTTTTGAGATTTATCTGTGTTGCATCTAACAGTAGTTTACAGCTTCTCATTGCTAAGTGCTGTATACAAGGCCTGTCCAGAAAGTATCCAGCCACTCACTAGGAAAAGTAGAGGCATTTATTGAAGAAGGTAAAGAAACATTGTACATAGGACAGTGATACCTCAGTCCCCTTCAGAGTTGGCACCTTGGGACCTTACACAGTTCTCCCAATTGCTGTCAGCTGCTCTGTCATTTTTTCTTGAATCTCATGACGATCTGAAATCTCTTCCCTTTCATAGGTGATTTTAGTTTTGGGAAAAGCTACAAGTCTCATTGCACCAAATCTGGGGTGTAGGGAGGCTGAGTCAACCTGGGTGACTTGATATTTCACCAAAAAACTTTGCATGAGACGTGGCACAAGTGGGCTCATTGCGACAAAGCTGCCAAGCACCAGCTGCCCATAGCTGCAGCCTTCTGAATCATCCCAGTAGTTTCCATGGAGGACTGTTCAAGCTCGATGCAAAATTTGATGCAGATTTGTTGCTCTGCTGGCTCAGTCATTTTGAATGTGACATCCACACAGTACACAGGCTCACTCAGCAGCATCTACCACCCCTACTGACTAGTACAGTGAAGTTGTCATTGTTCACAAACGTGCCTTCCAGCCCACTCTCCTTGGCTGCCAGGTTGCGTGGATGTCACACAAACCTGAGCAAACCATTCTTGTTATATTAACAATGGCTGGACTTTTTCCAGACAGACCTCATATACCATGATCTATATATACCACAGTTTGTTTATTCACCAGTTAAAAACCATTTGCATGTTTTAATTTTTAGCCAGTGTGACCAAAACTGTCCTTAAATGTTCCTAGTGTTTTGGTGGGCATACATTTTCATCCTCTTGAATTGCCAAATCAAATGCTAAGTACATGTTCAACCAGAAAAACTACCAAGCGTTTTGAAAAGGTTGGTATATGTTGCTCCCACCTTGGTTTCATTTGCTCCACATTTTACCAACTTTTGCTGTTGTTGGTTTGGAAGAGTTTTTTAGTTCTAATAGGTTTGAATTATTATTATGTATTTTCCTGGTGACTGGTGATAGCATCTTTTCAATGAACTATACTTTTTTATTTTTCTTATGGTTAAGACTTTTTGGGTTTTGTTTTTAAAATCACATATGGGTATCCCGTTGCTCTAGAATCATTTCTTGAAAAAGACTACCCTTTCTCCCATTGAAGTACATTGTCACCTTCGTTAAAAATGACCTGACCAAATATGTTGGGAGGGAATGTGGGGAGGATTGTGGATTATTTCTAGACTCTTCTGTATTTATGCTAATAGTGCACTGTCTTGAGTACTGTAGCTTTATTACAGTCTTGAAAAGTAGTCATAAAAAGGAATGAAGTCCTGATACACACAGTACAACATAGACCGAATATTGTGTGATTCCCAGTGTGGACTGTCCAGGATAGGCAGCTCTACAGAGAACTGAGTAGATCAGGGGTTGCCTAGGGCTGGGGGCTGGTAGAAAATGGGGAGTGGCTGCTAAGGTAGAGTTTGGAGGGTGCAGGGGAGTGATGAAATGTTCTGAAATCGAATCGTGGTGTTGATTACACAGCTCTGTGACTACACTAAAACCCATTTAATTGTACACTTTAAATGGGTGAATAGTAAATGAATTACATCTCAAGAAAGCTGTTACCATTAAAAAAAAATCTCAGCAGGCTTTATTGTAGAAATTGAAAAGATTTTAAAATTTATATGGAAATTAATAAACAAACCCTTTAGAAAAAGAACTAAGTTAGAAGACTTTTGTCTTTGTTTCTTTTCTATATTTTTTGTCTGGTTTCTTTTAATTGATTTATTTTTATTCTTTATAATTACTTGGGTGTTAATTTGTACTTGTCTGAAGGAAACTTAGATGAGTTTTAAATCTTCTTTTCTAATATGAAGTTACAGATGTCTTTCTGAGGGGTTCTTTAGTTGCATCCTGTAGATTTTAGGATTATAGTTTTCATTATTTTGTTAAAATACTTTCTAGTTCTGCGTCTTTTTCTTCTTCCATGGGTTATTTAGAAGTGTGTAATTTACACATATTTAGAGACTTAAAAAAATATTTTATTGATTTATAATTTTATTGTGGTCAAAGAACATACTAAGATATCAGTCTTTCAAATTTGTTGATCCTTATTTTATGGCTCAATATATGTCCTACTGTGGTATATGTTCCATGCACACCAGTAAAGATATATACTCCGCAGTCATTGAGTAGAGGGTGATGTATCTGATTGCCTTTTAATTTCATTTCCGTTTTAGTTCCTTTGGTATTTCCAGTAGTGCTTTATCACTCACAAAATAGAAATGTTCAATAAAAACAAATCCTGTTTTAAGTCAATGAAACGGTTCTAACTGGGGAAGTGATGGTGTTTCTCTGGATGTAAAATATGAACAGTCATTTGATTATACTCTGAATCTGTTCTGTTAAAAGGGCTTGAGAGTGGTAAACTGATAATATGAATTCATAGTCACTTTTCCCTACAAGCTGATTTTGTCAGTCGCAAAATTCTTGAGCAAAACCATTTTGTTTCATTTTAATCATGAATTATAATTTGAAAAGTTAAAACAAAATAAAAGGTTATCAGCCATGTTGGCAAAAGGTGAAATAATGCCTTAAATTTGATAAAGAAAAACTAGATGGATTGGATATTCATGTGAATCTGTGTAGGATGTGGGGCTTAACATTTACATCTCAATGTAAATGTTAATGTAAATGTGGGTGAACTCTAGCACCACAAAGATTAGATTCTATTTTGAGTCTGGAATGTTCTCTCAATAATGGTGAGCTTTATTGAGTTTTAGTAAGACGTCGGTGTGTTTGGTTACAGTAGGGAGCAGAGTCTCTGGTAGGGGACGCCTTGTTAGGGAACAAAGGGTCCTGTGTTCCACAGCCAGATGCACGACATTCCAGAGGGAAAATGAGAGACTGCACAAGGAACTGCCTCAGGACAAGCCAGAGATCGCAGTTTTTCATGTGTTTTCCTGCTGTCACAGAAGTTCAAGCAGTTGAATGATATAAATTGTCTTGTGGGTTTGTTATGGTGCTGATATGTGACTTGGACCGGAGTTTAATTGGTTCTCTGTATTGACAGGGGTGATTGGAGGCAGTTCCATTTCTGGAACAATTGTGCTTCTGATAAGTCAGAAGCACATAGCCTTGCCGCCTGTGCTTATGTGTGGGAAACAGTTGTTGCCCTTGCCCAGTATTTTAAATAGCCTGTGCTGTGTCACTTCCCATACTCTTCTGAGGATACTTTTTGCATCTTAAAGACTGCCTTTGTGTATCGAAAACAGCAGCAATTTAACACATTAAGCTCAGTGTGTCCCGAAGCATACATACATATATATATGTATATATGTGTATACACACACACACACACACACACAGTTGACTCTTAAACTAAACAGTGGGGTCAGGGCACTGGCTCCTGTGCAGCTGAAAAATCCCATGTAAGTTTTGACTCCCCCAAAACTTAACTACCTCTGATACCTGCAGGGGATTGGTTTCAGGACCACTTGTGATTCCAAAACCCACAGATGCTTAAGTTCCTGATATAAAAAGGTGTAGATTGTGCAGACTCAATCATTAACTCTGAAAAATGTTTGAGAAGTGAGAGGAACCAGGGTTATTGAAGTAATTGTAGTGACAGAAATGTATTAGCCTCAGGAGCTACTGAGGTGTCCATTCTAGCCTAGTACAGAAAAAATAAGTGTAAGTGTAGATCAAGGCATACAGTCTGCCCTCTGCACCTGTGAATTCCCAACCACAGACTGAAAAGTTAGGTATTTATTGAAAAATCTGCATGTAAGCGGACCTGTGTAGTTCAAACCCATTTTGTCCAAGGGTCAGCTGTATTTGATTATTAAATCTTGGTTTGACGAGCAGTGTTTTCATTAAAAAGATACCCGTTCTGTTGATCCTTCACTTTCCCAATAATGTTCACCTTGCCTAACTCTGCAATAAATATAAAGAACAGGGGCTCTATAAGAGCCAAGAATAGATGGCGCTTTGGGTCCTGCCACCTGTGCTCCATCCAGAAAGGTTCACTCTGTGTTCCAGAAGATACTCTTTTTAGGGAGAGGTTATGATACCCTAAAATATTTAAAACTGAATGTCTGTGGGGAACTCAGAGTCTGTACCCTTGAAGCACTTAGTCTCGTGGGTAAGATAAGACAGAACTATACAGAACCTAAAAACCTAACTCAGTGTGAATAGATTCTATTGATTCCAAAGGGATTCATTGTGGGTCCCGGAAATGCCAAAGCATCTGGGGCCATGACAGGGTTGGGAAGGAGCACGAGACTGTTTTAAGAGAGGGAAAGCAGTGTGAGGTTATTTCTTGTTCTTTGACCATCTCTGATGCGTATGTTTCAGCAAGGAATGGAGTTAACCTCAGTTTTATCTCCTCTTTACAGCCAGAAGAACTGAGAGAAATCATTGAGAAAACTAGAGAGATGGAGCAGAACAATGGTCACTACTTCGACACAGCAATTGTGAATTCAGACCTTGATAAAGCCTATCAGGAATTGCTTAGGTTAATTAACAAACTTGATACTGAACCCCAGTGGGTGCCATCCACTTGGCTGAGGTGAAGGAAGCCCTTCCTGTGGCACGATCGGACTTGATCTGGCAAATTGCCAGTACGAAGGTAAACCCGATACTTCAGCAGGACTTGGAGGGTAAGGTAGCAGGCAGTGTAGACCTGTTCTTCGATCTCAGACTAGTGAGAAGAAAATCCCCGTAAGTAATTTGTGCACAGCAGTCTTTATTCTGTGGCTTTGTGTTCTTGCCTCATTTGGGGATTCCAAATGGATACTTTCAACAGAGCAGTTCCATTTTATCCACGTAAAAACCTGTTTTCACCTAACTGAATCTTTCTGCCTAGTCATGTTTTCATGAACTATGTGTATATACACAGCAGTCCATGTCTCACATAGTTATAAATATTGACATTATTTAACGCTTAACTTAAATGATTTCATGGGAATGGGGGGTGGGAGGTTAGGGACCATGCTTCCATGTATTGGGCAAGACAATTGTAAGAAAACTGGTTTGGTCATCAGAAATACTTTGCTTAGATTTCTTTTATGTGCTGCAAGTATAACATACACATCAGATTTTAATAACTTACTACAGAAATTAAGTGTTGTTTATAGTGATTTAAAAAAAAACTTTTAAGGTGCCACTTTGGTCTGGAGCCACTCTGTTAGCCTTGAATTCATTTGTATGTCTTTTAACTGTTAAAAAACATTCCATTACAAGCACCAATTTTTAGCTCAAACTTTGTGGATCAGACTGTTCTGCACACTCAACAGACTCTGATCTAGTTAAGCATGTACAACATGCTGCTTTTTAATGATTTTTGTCCTTAAATTGTCACAGCTAATTAGATAACTGTGCTTCCTTTCTGTGCTCTGCATAGTACGATAGAACGTATGTTAAATTTTTATGAATGGTAGGTGTTCATGTAAACTGTGTTGACTGAGTTTCTCATGATGCAGTTCTTTATATATATGCGAGGACTGGCACATCTGAGTTTTCACATTTTTACATTTGAGCACAGTGTAAGTTGACTGTGATGTATATAGGTAATAAACTGGAATTCTGTGACGAATATAGCTGCTGTACTGTAAACTAATATTTAATAGATTGACAAATGGTCATTGGTAACACTTGTTCAGCATTGTACTAAAATTTTATCTGAGGGAAATACAATGAGTTGACGTTGAGATCAGAAGGAAAGGATGACGTGAAAGTCATCTTAACATTTTAGGAAAGAGTATAGGGGGCAGGATGGTTACACATATATAAAGAGGTTTTTATCCTAACAGGGTCTGCCCTTTGTGATCATAATGCAACAGCTTGCTAAATCCTAAAGGTTTAAGCTAATGGGATTTTCACACTGGCACAGAAAGGTAATTTGTAGCCTTTTCAACCGGTTAGGGATGGTGTGATGTGATGAACAACCTCAAATGTGAATATCTTCGTTTCATTTTTACAACTTAAGCCACAGCATTTCCTGTTCTCAAAGCTAAACACTGGAATAATATTGAGTTGTCACATAATTTAATGTAAGCAGTTGTTTCTAATTAGTGGTTTGTTTCCGTGTCATGTATATATTTGATTTTCTCTTATAATTTTATTTGAACAAATGTAGACGGTTTGTAAGTTGCCTTTTTCTGTTCAAATTTGCATGGCCTTCAAGTTGGCTGCAGTGTCTTAAGTACTTTAGGTACTGTTAGGAAGAAAGTAACAGTCCTCAGTTAGTGGGGCGAGTGCTCTACATACTGTCTCTTCAGGTCTGAACGCCCCCAAGGATCTCATAGCAGGAAACGAAAGCTCACACTAATCTTCAGCATCGAAAACCAAGGAACATAAGGACTTCGTCTTCTCAGCCTTGCAGTTTACTTTCTCCTCAGGAATGAAAGGTAGTCTGTGGTAGACAGTGGAGTTCTGACAGCTGTCTTTGACCCTACGATCTAAACCGTTGGAAGTCTGAGTTAGGTTAAAATGAGATTCCCGGCAGTGTGACAAGTGGCTGTGGTGCTGTCCCGAGTTAGCCCGCAGGCAGAGATCCGCACTAGGCCGTGTACCGTGGGACTCAAGACACGGCTTCAACAAGCAAACCCCCTCCCTAGGCACAAGCCGTGCCATCGTACACTTGAAGTCTAAGGTGACGAGATGTTTCTGGGGTCCGTGAAGTCTTGCAGTTCTGGCCTTATCAGCGTAGTGTTGGCAGAGGGACAGGAACATTAGCCCAGCCACATGGCTGTGCTGACACCCGCACAGTCCCTAAACAAAGTGAACACCGAGTGTTTGCCAACTTCCTTTGTCAAGCCTCCTGGCCAGGTCCACATCCTGTCCCCCTGGTTCTGACTGGAGACCCTCAATAGGGAGATCTCGGCCACTTACAGGAATGACATCAGCACTAACACAGTGCACGTTTGCTCAAACGGAAATATCTTCCTTTACTGAATTTTCTTAAGTCAGAACAGATAGGAAGGAGAAAAGTATTTAGACTAATCCAGATTTGCTTTCTATGAAAATGTGGTATCTGGATTTTTTCCCCATTTTTCACGGTCTAAGGAGTAGGTATTGATAAGGAATAGTTTGAATGTAATTTCATGAATGTGTGTGGAAAACATGAACCAGGGATTTAGCCTTAATAAGGTAACCTTTCTGACATCTGTCATTAATCCTCCTTTGTACTCTCATCCTGTACCTGCACTCTTATTTTGAGATGTCATACTGCACACTGTAGTGTAAAAATAAAAAAATTATATTTCAAATAAAGAAAGCCACTGAACACTTTCTCTTGCTGTATTTATATCTTCTGCCATTCAAGATTTCATCATACCTAACGACTACCCTGGCTTCACGTTTTTGCCAGAAGTCAGTCCACTGAGGGAACAGTGTCTTTTAACTTACTCTTCACCATGAGGCAGTACCCTCTACTGGCACAGATATAGGTTCTGTTTTCTTAATTGGTGTCTTAAAAAAAAGGAACAACTCACTTTAAATGATATTGTTTATAGCATAGTCACATTGAAATTGGCAAAACCACTCAATGACAGGCAGAACAGAGACCTGTCATGAGAAGCAAGTAAGTGAGGGCTTCCAGAAAGCTTGAGGAGTGCCACAGTAACACAAGGAGGGCTGCAGTGATCACAGACGACAGCGCCGGTGGGTGGGTGGGCGGGGAGGGTGCTCCCACAGTAGGGAGACCAGTGCTGGTTCCTAAGGGGAACTTCTAATGTGCTGGGTAAGCCCATCACTCGTAACACAGATGCAAGTGGAATAGGATGCTCTTCTGCAGCATAAACTTGTACAAGTTTCTGGACAGGTTATCGAAATCTCATCTGTGATAAATGGTTGTTATATTAAGATTCTGCAAAGGTACTCCCATAAATGGACATTCAGGGAAATTTTACCAGCAGTGAAATTCTTGGGCTGAAAAAGAAACAGTTACACAAACCAGACCTACACACCGTGAACTAAAATGGTGCCACGTTAGGATTTTTGAAAGAACCAGAGCAGGAAAGACGACTATTCAAACAGAAGGTCCTCGTCCTTCTCTTCAGCCAGGAGATTGGCAGGCTCCGCCACCTCTCCAGCTGCCCTCCGTTGCTCCAAGTCCCTCTCAGATTTTTCCTTGAGAATCTTTTTCTTCTCCTGTATTTTCTTTAACCTGTAAAATAAAGGAATTCTCTCAGTGCTGTTTCAGCACTAAAGTACATTCGCTTCTAGTTTTGTAACAAAGATAATAAACACAAATTACAACAAAATTGAAATTTTACCTTAATTTCAATTCAATAATTTATAGCCCATTAAAAAAGGTTTGAGGTAGAATACACATATTTTAAGCTAATAACAGATTTCAAAAGCTTCTATTCCAAGGTGAGCAAACTCTGGAATCCATTCCTTGATCATGGAACAGATTTTGAGCGTCACTGAAGGACAGAAACGAACCTCTGATCATTAGGATTATAAATCACACACTACTCAGGGCTCAAGATGGCATGTCTCCCCGAATGCCCTGCCTTCACCTGTCCACTTCTGTGAACCTGGCACACTGCCCGGCACACCACCTATGCAGTCCTCACCGTCTCTACTGGCTTCAGTGTTCACAGTCAACTCCGTACATGTGTCATTTCTCTCCCAGTACTGGACTAACTCTCTAATATAATGTCCCCTTCTGGAACATACTCAACATGCAGTCCATACTGAGTGACTTATTAATTCTGGTTTCTTTTTATGCGGGAGACACCCAACCTAAATCACTGTTTCATTTTTTAAATATTCAAGTATTTGACCAAAAATTTGGGGGATGCCATGCTTTAGCTAAGTGTAAAGCTAAGAGAACTGTCTTCACAGCCTTTGGCAATATTATTTCTTGCTTCTTACATATCAGTAAAATACAAGCTGTGCTGATTTTAAAGAACATGAGCCAACAAGAATTTCAGAAAACAGAGACTTTGGAATATGGGAAACAAAATGATCAGGAACTGCCAGTTTCAACAAACCGATAGAACTCTTCTCGCTCTCTCTCATCCAGCTCTGTGATGATATAGGCGAGGGTACGTTCGATCCGGGGGATGATGACTAGGGTTTAAAAAAATATTCACACGTGAGAACTTCAAATGACCTTTTTTCAAATTGCCAGTGCCCATTTATATATCACATACTTATTTTTTTCTATTTATAAAACCAATTTACATTTAATGCACAAAATTTAGAAAACAGAAACATAAAAACAAAACTATAATCCAACCACCCTGAAGTAATTGTTTTAAAATATTTTGGTATATGCCCCTCTAGTGTCTTCTCTATACAGAGAAAATTAGACCACGGTATATATGACACTGAATTTGTATGAATACATGACATTGAACCACAAGTGTTACTTTAAATCCACAGTAAGCCAGTGACAAAACCAGAGCACGGAGGCAGAGAGAATGCAGTAAGGTGAGTTTTATGTCAGTCGTGAGGTTCTATTTTACCTAGAATTTGCCTATTCTCACGTGAGGGCTACAACGGTACCTCGTCCCTTTTGTTTTGCTGGCAGTTCTGTGTACAGGGGCTGGCACTGCCACGCAGTCAGGAAAAAACTTCCTGTTTCACACTAATAGAGCCCAAGCAAAATCATTTCTTTGCTCTTCAAATTCTGCTTTTTTACCTTAAAATTTAAAAAATTAAAACTGAGTTTCTTAAGTATTATATCAACACTAAGCAGTCATAGTTTTAAAATAATGAAATAAGACTTCCGCCAAGATGGAGGCATAGGTGGATGTGCCGTGCCTTCTCACACAACCAAATTTAGAGACAACTAAATATTAGCAACAGAAAACACAGCCAAAACACGGAAAATTGAACTTTTCAGAAGTCCGTTAACAACAAATTCCTCAGCCTGACCGGTAAGGGGCGAAACCAGCGGCTGGTGAAGCGGGATTGCACAGGAAGACTCGGTCAGACGGACTCAGGCACAGAATCCAGATGCGCGGAATCCGGGCGCAGGGTTGGACCTAGTGAGCTACCGAAGGAGCGACCAGGTGAGCGACTGCGAGCGAGACAGCGGAGGAGCGGTGCTGCGTGTTGACTGTGGTCACGCATTTGTGCGCGGGCGGATGGGCGAGGGAGTGGGCGGTTGGACCGGGGCCCAGCAGGTCCCGCAGCGGGCGGCAGTGGAGGGCGCCGCCATTTCCCTGCTCTGACCCCACCTCCACGTACAGCGTCATAACCCAGCGACTCTGAGTGGCCCAGCCCAGGGGAACCACCTAAGGCGCTGATCCTCACCCAGCTGTGAGAAACAGCAGAGGGGGTCGCCATTTTCCCGCTCTGACCACGCCCCCACATACAGCAT